AAATTAAAAAGTGTTGTTCTCATTTCTTCAATGCATCATTCGAAATCATAAGACCTTGAAACTGGGAAACGAGAAATAATAACATTTTACAATTTGACTAAAGGAGGTGTAGATGCAATGGATAAAAAATGTTCTAAACATTCTATCAAGTCGAAGAACAAGGCAACGGCCAATGGACATATTCTTTAGGTTACTTGATGTAAGTGGAATTAATGCATATATAACACATCAATGGAAAAAACTGATTTTTTGATGGAGTTATCATAAAAATTAGTGAAACCACATATGGAATGAAGGCTTCCAAACCCAACTGTGAACTGGGAAATAAAAATGTGCATTCAAAGTGTTAGAAGTTCCTAGTGGAATCTATTCTATCCTAGATGTAACTGATACCCTTAAAAGCATAAAATATGCTTTCTTTGTCTCCCTAGACTAAGAAGAAAACAACTACCTATCTATGTTTCAGCTGTAGGAATCCAATATGTAATAAATGTGGCAAGAGACTTTGCGAAAAATTGTGTTGAAAATGCTTGAAATAATATGCTGCAGTTTTTTAATATTCCTTATATATTATACTTTTTTGTGTTATTTTATATAATCCCTATTCTGTAGGTGGAAAATTTATTAAATAGTTTAGTTTGTACCCCCACATTTGCAAGTAAGTAGTGTTTTTTAATTTATTTGATAAGTATTTTGTACTTTTTCGTATATGATTTAAAAATTAATTTTTAATGCATTAATTTTAAAGTTTTAAAAAGAATTAATTACTTCAATATAACAAGCAAAGTGTATTAATGCTCATATAATAACAATAATACATTATTTTAAAATTTTATATTTTTAAAATGCATAAAATAGTGCACGTTCCGAGATACCCCCCCTGTATGTTTATGTAACAGAAAATGAACCTCTGTATTTAAGGGTTAAGATGCACCTTTTTCATTACTGCCTTTTTTCCAGCCAGTCCTTTAATTCTGGATCTTCTAACCATTTTTGTCTAAAATTTTGAGTATACCAATATTTACTCATCTTTCTGAATGGGGGACGACAAGTTTCAAACATTGTAGATGTGGCTAGTTAGTAGGCATCTTATTTTAAAATGTTCTGTAAAGTAATAAAAAAGAGGCAGTAATCCATTAATGTAAAATAGGAATAATTACTACAGTTTAAAATTATTGTATCACATGTAGCACACACATAAATATAAAAACTGCGTCAAATAATGCAATAATCTAATGAACGATCATATAGACTATGCAGAATTGCCTTCTGCCTGCTCAATAGGCAGCATATATAACATGTCAGTACCATGAACAAACATTATAAGGTAACTTTGCAAAAACTTTGAAATCCTTTGTTTGACATCTGTAGTATTTAATGAAAACACTTAAAATATTACAAATTAGTACAGTCAAAAAAGTGTTTAATCCGGACCTCAAAGCTACAAACTTTCTGCGCATGCGTTGACACATGTGCATAATACCTTTACACATGTGCATATGCGTTTACGCATGCGCATAATGCGTTTACGCATGCGCATAATGCGTTTATGCATGCGCATTTAATGTATAACGGACGGTATAAGCTAAGATAAAATTATCTAATTATCTATTTCAGTAATGTTGCAGGCTGCGTTGTGCCTTAATCTTCGAAATGGATCAGGCTTATTATTTTTTGCAGACTGTTAGAGCAATTTTATAAAAGTAAGCTTGAACATTATTATGTCAAAAAGAATTTCCGATTCTGGAGCTGCCAAAGGATCTACAAAGCGAAAGCATGTTTCGATGTCCATCAAACAAAAAGTGGAATTGCTGCAAAAAATGGATAAAGGCATATCATTTGTTTCTCTAACCATTCCGAAATCTGTTTATCAGTGAACTGGAAGTTGATCTGTGAGCACTATCCTTATCTTCAGGGCAGATGTTTTTATTTTATTCGGCTTATAATTCCTTACTAAATTATAGGAACTGGAAGTTGATCTGTCAGCAGTATCCTTATCTTCAGGGCAGGTGTTTTTATTTTATTCGGCTTATAATGCCTTACTAAATGTAGTATTTCATCTCGATGTACTCCGTCTTTGATATGATTTAAATCAAATTCCTTGTCATTATAAATATCACGAATACACATCAAATAGTTTTCTGGTTGCAATTTTCTAATTTCGACTATGCTTTATGCTTTTTATCTATGCTTTATGCATGCACGCGTTGAAAGAAATGTTTAATAAAGTAAGCAAATAAATATTAAGTTTTTTTTTTTTTTTGTGTGTGTGTGTGTGTAAATATTGATGCCCTTTAGATCATAATTGCTCTTTATTTCATAAATTACGGTTTCATATTTTTAATTTTATAATTTCTATTTCTATCTTACCAGATTTAAACTGATGATCGATAATCCGGAATCGCCGAAGTTCCGACGAATCCGGATTAAAGACTTTTGACTGTATCAGTATTTCTAGAATAGACAATTACGAAAATTGTAAACTGTTATTAAATTTATTAACTTTTTCTATATTTATACGAAATAAAAGTTTAGTTTTGACTTAATATTAAAAATTGCTGAAAAAACCCAGTTAATGAGACCCAGATGACAATGGGGAGGGGGAAGGGAAAAAAATACTAAGTGTGGGAGTCCTGAGCAGAACTGATATTCATCTGGTATGGACCATATTTTTCTACATATAATAGGGTGTACTAGATTATATTCTGTAGAGTATATTTATATTTGCATTTTTATATATCTGTTATTAAAAATATTATTTAGTTTTACTATTGTAGTTTTAATTGAGCAAATAAATAAAGTAATAAAAGTGCAATATTTAGAAATTTAAATGGGAACATACCAGGTGTATCAGAATATATTTGTTGTTAATTTGCAGAAAGCTTAAAATATGACAATGTATTTGATATATTTTTTACTTTGTTAGCAGACATCCCTGTTTATTAATTTTAATTGCTCATAAATCTGAAAATGTTTGAAATTGCCATCTTAATTGACTATTATTGGTATTGTTTGATTCCTTGAAAATATTATAATTTTTTTTTTATTTGGTTAGAATTTGAAAATTTTTGGTTGCTGTTTGTTATTACTAAAGCAGTTTGGTATTGATATTACTAAAACTTTGGTACAAAAACTTTTAAAAAAGAACTGAAAGGAGCTTTAATATGATAGCACGTATGAATTGCACTTGTTGCCATAAAAATGTATGTACAGAGAAATAACTGTCAGTGTCAAAAGGAAATTTTGTATTTGTGAGGACAGTGTTGATGTAAGTAGGTAATTACAAACCAAACCAAAATGATAATTTATTACAGAAAAAATTGTGAATGAATGAAAGTGCTAGTATCCTGTTGGGCCCCCTCTACCATGAATACACAATGTGATATGGATGGGCATTGAGCCATACAGGTACAATATGATGTCTGCATCATTTCATTCTACGGTTGTTGTAAGCTTCTAGTTTGTCCAAACTCCTAGGCTCTTCAGCTTCCCAACCCAAGTGGTCACAGACATGCTCAGTCAGTGACAGATCAGGGTTAAGCAGGCTGGTAACTTAATGTAAGGATACCTGTGACTTTTTTTTTTTTTTTTGTGGTTGAGAATTGTTCTATTGAAAAATGTACTGCTGGTCTGTTGTAGTACCATGGGTCAATATTAGAGGTGACTGGCGATCATATGTGAGAGCACCTCGTACTATCACATCAGTTATGGAAATAATGCAACATTGTCAAGCAAAAACAGGATTGAGACATTTACCACAAGACCTCCACATACATACACAGTTGCAATCCTGTCCAAATTGAATCTTGAGTTATCATGATCTGGTTCTGTTTGCAGTCTAATCCTGTCAAGCACATCAAGACTCCAAACAAAGGTAACGGTGGGTAGGTGTCAATGACAGTACACATGATTGGTGCTGTGATACAAGTCAGTGGTACGAGCAGACACAGGGACCCATACTGAAACTACTGCCTGTGTTATGGACTCTAGATAATTTTGAAGTTGTTGCTGTATGTACATGACAGGTGATGTAATGGTCCTCTGAGCTGTTGGTCTGTTTTTTAAATCCCTGGTTATCTTGTAAAGTGATATCTTCTGTATTTTATATAGCATAGTTTAACTGGTCATTTTGTTATTCAGGGTAATAAATTGTAATAAAATAACATGCTAGTAAATGCTGAACACCACAGGTGAAGTACTTAATGTAAAAATGAGTACTGCATGAAAATTGCAATATATTGTTACGAATTTGGTATTTAAATAGCTAATGCTAGTTCAATTATAAATTAAATGGTTTTATTTCCCACGCAGTGCAGCGCGTGACGAATATTAAAAGAAAGCTAAGCCGGAAAATTGAAAATACAAGAGCGCGTGCATTAAACATTTAATAAATATCTCTTTTCGATTTCGAGAAAGTACTAGAAAAGTATTCTCGCGCGTGATTTTTAAAATCTCATAAAAGGAGGAAAACCTCTCAGTTCGTAGTTTGTTGTTGTTTAGAAAACTGCTCTTGTTGACTGTAGCGAATTCGCGGATTAGCTTTCTTTAGCTGTTTTGAATTAAGTTCTGTTGAACGTTTGAGTAGTTAGAAGATAACTTCTGTGATATATTGTGATATTGCATGATTATTTGAGGACATTTAATCATATTTGTTGTGATAATAATAAATTTTCTTCATTTTTCATCGGACTTGTGCATTTATTTCGTAGCGAACCATTACGCATGCAACAATATAAATAAATACTTTTTTGTTGTTGTTAAATTGTGCGTCATGCAGTTATGCAAAAGAAATATGTGATTGTAGTGTTTTTAAATTTCTTCATTTAAATTTAAAAGTTTTGGTTTTACATTTCATAAAAGAAATTTCAGTAATGTATTTTATTTATTAATAACATTAAATCTATTCAAGAGCATTCTTCTTGTGATATACCATCTTTTTTTTTTATGTTTTCTTTACCTTTTTTGAGACATCTATTAACTTTAGAAATTTTACTTTTAAGGTTCTTAATCATTATACTTATGGAAGCATCTACTGAAGACATTCATCCACATTGCTTACAATGTGTGAAATTTTCAAAATGTACTGTGGGGTCAAAGTCTGGTGAAAGTTGCAATATAATAAGTTGTCCTGCAGAATGTGGAGCTAAATTTCATGCATGCAAAAGAAAAGAGCATAGACTTCTATGTATGCATGAAAAGGTATAAAAGTATTCTTATATTTTTCTCTATAGCCAGAAATTCTTTTTAAAGCTTACTTCTGAAATATACCTGATTAAAGAAACCTGAACCATAAAAGAAAATTGTTTAATTACATAGGGCTCATAATAGCTTTATGTTGACATATAAATTTATAAAATGTACATTTTTCACAAGTAATTTTGATATATTTATGCAAGTGAAAGTTTCCATTGAAGCACATCATTAAAATGATTCTAACAAAAGCTTCTTAATTTTTTTTTTTAAATATTTCATTATAGGTGCCTTGCATAAATGCAGGATATGGCTGCCCTGCTGTGATGTTTAGAAAATATCAAAGTAGGCATTTGACTACTTGTCCTGCAAGTATAATTCATTGCTCAGAAGAATGGGATAGGTGGCCCATACATTTTCATGACAACAAAAAGCCCCACAATCCCAGTCAGTTAGATCCTACTGTGCACAACCATTTGGATGTTGCTTTAGCTATGAGAGATCAGCGAATGTTGAGGAGATGGTGTGTTGCCGCCGCGCAGGGTCATTCCTTAAATGATCATAAATTTATGATCAGCCCATCAAGTTCTTTATGGGTATTTGAATAAGTATTTTATTTTAATTTAATATATTTTGATAAAAAATTACTCCTAAATAACAGCTAAATGAAAAGTGTATTTTGTTTTAAAATTAATAACAAGATAATTGTAAATTCATGATTACTCATGAGTCATGGAAATGCAGTAAGTCATTTCTTATATACTTATTTCATGAATGCATGTGCAAGTTGCCTGTCTGTATGCTTGTTTTCCAATCATTTTTCTAACTTAATGCTTCTTAGTAATAAGTTCTGAAGTAGTAAAGAATTTTGCAACCACGATAATATAACAGCTAATGTGTGTGATTTTTAACAGCAGTTGCAGTATATTTTTTTCCTTTTTATTTCCCTGTGACTTTATATATATATATATATATAAGTACTGTAATTTCCAGAAGAAATGTTGCACGCTTACATGCTTAAAGCTTAAAAATCTTTCAGCAGGTGTAGTGTTTGTACCAATGCAGTGCTTACATGAACTTTAAAAAAATATTCCATACAATGTCATTGTAAATATCTTTTATCATCTTGGTGCTGGCCCCACACAGAAAACCATCCAGCTGCTTTCTGAGAACAAACTTTCTTTTCCTTGAATGGACCTACATGCCTTATTCACCCTGAATGAGATCTTTGAAGAATTACGTTCTTCCCTTATTCAGATCAGCATTTACATCAGTTTGAATCGCCTTTGTTCTCAGTCCCATGATGAATCTTCTGAGACCCATCATCTTCGCTCCATCCTCTTTCTGTTGTAAATCTACTTTTTTATTTATTTATTTATTTATTTGCAAGTATGCACACAACTCCAAACTCCACCTGCATTGCAGTAACAAACTCTGGCACATTTCTTCTTTCTTCCCCTTCAACACAAATCGATTCTGCTTGCCATTTTGCCTGGCTACAGATCCGGTCAACTTTGGTATAAGTACATGTTAGATATTTTTAAGTAAGAAGGAAGGAGAAATTTTTTTTAAATGGTACCTAAATAGTGTTATTTCTTGTGCTGAACAAATTGGAAATAGAGCAATAGCTTGATAATTTGATGTGTATGTGCAGTGCATTCGGAATTGGAGAACTGAAAAAGAAGGACTTGGGAAACATTCCACAACAGAAATGAGCCCAAAGAAGTGTAGTATAAGAGGTTCAAATTTGGAAAACAACCCTGCAAAGTGTGTAAAGGAACAACAATAAATTTTGACTATAAAAATTCTCTTACAAGCAAAATTTATGGCTCAACAAATGAACATAAATTACTTTAAAGGAGGGCCTTGCTAGTGTAGCAGATTTATGAAAAGAAAAAATTCTGCGCATATCAGAAAAAGAGTCAGGCAACAGTTACTAATAGAGTGGCAGGATAATAAAGAATTTTTTCTAAAATATATGAAAATTATTAATAACAAAAAAATTCTTTTATCACAGGTAATAAATATGGTTGAAACACCATTAGTTTTTGATTCTCTGGAAATGGAATTGTTGTTAAAACTGGTGCAAAAACTTTGCCCATGCTTATGATGATGCATGAAAGAACTTCATTTACACATGCTAAAACAATAATCTTTTTGAAGCAGAAATCTATTCCTGAGGGAGATTTTCATAATGATGTAATTATTTGTGCAAACAAGAATGGATGGATGTATGAAACAATGATGCATGAACGGCTACAGAACGTTTGACAGTGTCTTAAGGGTTTTTCTTCTGCAACCAAAAACATTGTTAATAATAGATTCAGTGCATTATCTTTTTCTTAATTCAATGAAAGCCAGATGTCAAACATTATCTGTGACCTTAGTAATAATTCCAGGTGACCTTGATAAAAATCTTACAACCATTAGATTTGTCAAATAATCAATCCTTCAAAGATGAAATCCAAAAGCAGTGGGAGGTGTTGGATGAGTGAAGGATTCCACAATTATACCAGAAGCAACAAAATGCATAGAGCATGTTATGAAGATGTTGCAAAATGTGGAAGAAGTGCTTGGAAAGCAATTAAATTATTGTCAGTAATATCGGAATTCAAGGAAACTAAAATTGTATCTCAAGATAAAGAGGCTAAAAAGCAAAAAGGATGAATGTGAAGATCTGGCAGACTTGGACTATTTAAATAGGATTTGCTAAATCATTTTAGTTCAGATAATGAAGAATCAGATTTAGATGGCTTCATGTGATGTACAGTTTGCTGTAATTATTTTGTGGGAAAGGTAGTCATTCAATTTAATATTTCATTGTTGCAGTAGTTTTTACACCATAGTATGAGTATTACATATACGGACTTCTTTAGTTTATATAAGTCTATATAAGTATGTTCATGAACATAAGTATATTTTCAACATTTATCACCTGTAATATATTTTTGAGTTATGGTTTCATTTCATGCATTTTTCTGAACTGATATGCTATGTACAGTCATGTAGGTCAAGATTTTGAAACTTCGACATTCATGGCAATGTCATAAGCAATTTAACTTAGTGCAGCGTTTTTGTGAAATTTTCCTTGCGTGTGGCATTTACACTGGTATGGTCTTTCTTTTAAAAATAATCATATTTTCTTGTTGGTCATTTTCGAGGAACAAAATGTTTTGCCAAAGAATGTGGTTTAGCCCAATAATTAATGAATTTGACATCAGAACATATTTTAAAATCTTAACCTGACTTTGTTTGTTGGATTATTTCAAGGCTTAAGTTCTTGCATATTTTTTGTATGGCAATCTTTGTAACATAATATTTGCTGATAAAACTAAATCAAGAACATTTTGTTCTTTCAATCCTAGTCGAAATGGTTTGCATGTTTAGGCGGGCTCTTCGCTAACTTTATTGTCAATGGAAAATATATATATTTTGTCACTGAAAAAAACCCTTTAATTTATAAAATCAAAAATTTAGAAAAAGAACGACCTGAAAACATACCACAACAGAAATGAGCCCAAAGAATTATAGTATAAGAGATTCAAATTTAGAAAACAACCTTGCAAAGTGAATAAAGGATCAATGAGAAAGGAAATGGCAATTTTGACTACAAAAATTCTCTTACAAGCAAAATTTATGGTTCAACAAATGAACATTTATGAAAATAAATAAATATATGAATAAGTGAAATAAAATTTGTAATTAAGAATTGGTTATATACAATTAGAGAAACATTCAATATTATTATTTAATGTAAATTAACTTTTAAATACTGCAGTGCTATTTTACAGATCACACTATTTTTATTTATTTATTTATGTATTTTTTGCTTGCCGTAGAAACATCTAATAATTGGATACTAATTTTTACTCATTCATAGCTAAATATGAATAATTCTCATTTCTAAAGTGGATTTTTTATATATTTGCTAAAATAGGTTTCTGCATATTAACACCAGTGATCATAATATGGATCAATTAGTTAAAAGTTTGTAAAATAATATGCATACATTGCTTTGCATGTTCTTATGTGTGAATATTATTATGGAGAAACAATTTGAATATATTATTGAACTGACATATTTTCATGAATTATTTTATGATACGTTTGCTTTATGGATTCAGATTATTTTATACTAATATTGGAAATTTATATTGCACATATGACAAAATATTTAGAAACATCATATCTTATTAGCTGTGATTAACATTTTATAAATTTAAACAACTCAGGAAATTTAATAACCATATTTCTATTTTAGGTCTTCAGAAAATGGCAGAGCTCAAGAGAATATAGTTATCCTCCAGGACTTGAACAAAGTGTATGCAATGAACTGTGTAAAACTTGTAAAAGAAATGGAAATGTGACTTCTAATGCATTGTCTCATAATGACAATAATATGAGTCATACAGATAAAATGCTTGATACATATTTGGATTTTAATGGAATTGCTGACAAAGAAAATTCTGGAGATATTAACAATAAAAAGCAGGTAGATTGTTGTGTTAAATTACTTGTCCGGTTTCTCAGTTATAAAAATTCAGTAGTTATATAGTTTTAAATAAGTAATCATCTTTTATTATTTTTGCTTTGCTTTCATTTAAATGTAAGTTAAAAATAAAGGTACTTTCTAATTTTGTTAACCGCCCCCCCCCAGCTTGCTAGAATTGTCATGTTTAGTGTAGGTTCAAGTATGCATGCTATAACAATTAAGCCATGTATGGACATACACAAATAGATTTATATGCTGACCAGTATTTTTCTTTAACATTGGTTGTAAAAATGTAAATATTATCCTTATAATTTTAACGTTTTCATATAAAATTTCTTATTTCATAGATAGCTGTTCACCATAGTTTTATGAAAAAAACAGTATCTGTCACCCTGAAATGTAACAAACAAATGCTTTTTACCAGTTCACAATGCTTGCAATTCAAAAGGCAACTTTTCACGAGGTTGCAGATAAATATAAAGTTCCAAAATAGGTTTAAGATATCATATGGAAAGAATTTTGAATGCTTTGTGTAAAACGTACAGTGGTACCTCAGTATACATCTGCTTTGAAGTGTATCCAACTTTGTATATGTCCTGTTTGAACATGAAAATATTTCTTGGAATATGACTTGAATTTGATGAGCCAAGACTGCATGCATTACACTTGTTCATCTCTTTCGAGGCATTGCTAGAATTGCCCATGAGCATCAGCATGCATGTTGCTACTTGCATTCAGTAAACAACCTGAGATATACCTCTGAATTCCAAATCATTTTGTGTTCTTTCACAAAAATGTTTTGTAAATTCATAAATAATGAGCTTTTGGAAAGTTAATGAGAAAAGTGAAGCAATGAAGAATGTTAAGACAAAAATGGAGGTGAAAAGAGAGTGTTGACATGTATGAAGATGGTATGTGTATCCGGGATTTGGCTACTGCTTACCGTATGCTGAGTACAATGATATGGATGATTGTGAAAACTAAAGATGCTCTTAAATCAGCTAACATCGCAAAAAGAGTGAAATCGATCACCAAAGAAAGGTGAGAGGTGTTAGAGCATATTGAAAAAGTGCTTTTGATCTGGATAGCAAAGAAACATTTATATATAGTGACCATGTGCAATGCTTCATTTGTGTTTGGTATATATTTCACCTGTTGCATTTATATTTTAGTATTAAACAATGTTAAATGTTATAAAAATAACAGTACTTTCCTTTATTTCTTATTGGAAAAGTTTGTTTGAAAAAACAAAATGTATGTAGGATAAACAAGTTTAAAGAATGCTCAGTTATAGAATTTTAAAATGAGAGTTGGAAGCACTAAAGTATATTACATAAAGTATCACTAAGTTGATTTTGAATTACACTGTATGTCCTCATTTTTAAAAAGTAATCCTTGTCCACATAGGTAGTAGTTGAGCTTGTATAGTGCAAAAAATACTGTTCTATGTGCAAATTTACAAGGATAGATGCAGCACAAACACGGAGTTAAAATTATAAACATCTTAGTTCCATTTTATCATCTACTATCTCAGCTCCAAACTAAACTTATATTGCATAATTGTGCAAAATGAAATTCTTATGGCTGTCTGAAAAGTTTGCCATAAATATTAAACTTTAATTCCTACTGTCTATACAGAAAAAGGGCAATTTCACATTATCCTTGATAATAGAATATTTCCTGTCTATATTATCATGTAAAAATGAAAAATACGAAATACTCTTTACTAATATTTGTCACTGAGTTTTTAAAAAAGATTTATATTTTTAAACTATGCATTAATTTTAAAGAATGTGGAAACAGAGTGTTGATTTCTTTTTGGATTTGTTATTGAAAAGCCCAGAATAAAAATGCTGTTCTCTTCAAATGCAGAGAGTATGAGGCTCCCTGTGGACCCATGACCCTGGAGTGTTGAATGTCACTGTGTACCCAAACATGTAAAAATAATTCCTGTATATTCATTAAATGTAATCTTACAGTAATGTTAAGAGAAAAATTCTAATATTTATAAATAAAATAAAATTAAGGAATAAGTACATCATTAGTAATAATAATTATATTTATATATTTAAATTATTTCCATAAAATAGTAAAGTAAAAAAAGTGTAAATTTAAATACTCATGCTTATTATATTGTCATATTTATGTATACAACTATAAGCTATTGCACCGTGTGAAACATTTCTGAACATCAGTGGGTGTTATAAACATCACATGTTTTGCATTCATAAAATAAAATAGTAGATCATATTCATAAGAACAAGATTAACTACACTCAAGAAATTAAGTAACACTCAAGAAATTAAGTTTCATTGTATTCTGATACCATTTTAGCAATTTTAAAATATCAGATAAAATTTTCTGTCTCAATATATCAAATGTATTATAGGCCACCATTGACACATCACTCCTATATTGTATTTAATATGGTGGTCTCATGGTAAACTGAAGCATATCACATATAATACGCTGGAAGCTAAAACGTTAAAAAAAGGAAGAATCCAGTATCTTGATTTTTTGGTTCATTGTTTATAACTTATAATGGTTATAAGCAATGAACAAAAAAATCAAGATACTGGATTCTTCCAATCTTTGTTTGGTATAGGATAAGTTTGAAAATTTTTGTTTGATTCAGATTATGTATTTAACTTAATATTTTTAAAATAAGAACTTATCAGTGTTTCTTTTTTGTAGGAAAATGCACAATCAAACAAACAAAAAATGGAGAAGTGTTTTTCTAGCCAAGAAAATCTGGCACATTCATTAAATAACAAAAATGAGTTGCCTCAGTACAATTTAGATGATGTACTTCAGCTTAGTCAGTTTGGTTCTATTGTCTATTATCCGTCATCTGGAGAAGGATCTATTCGTGTTGCAATTGATGCTAATGACTGTTTTGCAAATTCTTGTAGTGATCATCAAAATGTAGCTTGCCAAATTTTAGATTTTAAATTTAAAAATCCCTCTTCTACGCCACCATGGTGTCTTTCATTAGGACTAGATCTGAATTTGGAGTCAAGGTCTCAGCATTCTCCTTCAACTTTTATGTATACATTTCTTTGTTGTCAGGTAAGAATTTTTTTGTACTAATTAAATAATTGAGATATTTTAAATTTAAATTAATTTTTAAATGCATTTATTGATATGCAGTACTTATGTCTCTTAAATGCATTTTTAAACACAGGGAATTCGTGTCTCTGAGTTTAATATGTATAGAGTCAACTTCCAGTCAACTGAGGTAATGCCAGGAGAGACATCTGAAATTAATCCAAATTTTCCATAACTTTTTGTTTGTTTGTTTGTTTTTGTTTTATGCTGATGTTTGTGAGAGTAATTTTTCTATTATTTCAGAATAAGCAGACCTAACTTTTTTCCCACTGTGCGCTGATTCTATAACACAATTAATCTGGCTCCAAATTATTGGGAGCTGACTGTGATATTTTTAAAATGGTACATTATTAATTAAAAGTTAAATTTTATTATTCATTATGTCAGTTTAGAAATTTAAGTTTTGGAAGTTCATGATACATTTGTTCAACAAATGAGAGGAACATTTTAGGCAGACAAACACCTCCTCCTTTCTGTATAATGGTACATGGCACAAATAAGTTCTTAGCCTAAGTATAAATACCATGATTCGAACTTTTTTCATAGACAACAGTTAAGTGTTCAGTCATGAATTAAATCATAAGATGCATAGTAGAGTTTGGAAAATGAAAGACAGTTAGGGAATATATAAACATTTTGAAAAAAGTGAGGAAAAATTTGATCTTTTAGGAAAGTGGAGGAGATTTAAAAATAAATAAAACAGTCATCTCAAATAATAAAAAAAATCACATTTTAAATAGTAACTCCTCATCATAGAAAGCTGTTATTAATGACTGAATGATATTAGTGACCAACTGCTGAACTAAATTTGTGACCAACTGCTGAACAACGATGGTTGGGGGAGGGTCAAATTCCAGTGAATCAGAAGGCCATTTAAGACTTTTCAAGGCTTATCCTTTGTGTATGGTTTTACAGTAGCTAGTCAATTTTATTTCCAAATGCCGTAGGAATAATATTTGTTATGAAAAGTATGCTGTTATACATTTCTTTTGCAAACTGAATCCCACAGATTATGTTGTTTTTTTAAGCTTCCTTTCATATGCTGTGCAGTAATGAATAAGGATTAATGAATTTTTTCTTATATTTGTAGTTTTTATTATATATTTTAGTAAATGAAAAATAAAAAGTTTCTCATATTTAATTTGATAACTACTTCCTTGTCCTTACTTAGGAGAACTGTTTAACTTGATCAGAGAAGGTAATGGAATTAAATGTTGAATTTCAGCAGGAGCCCTGCATGGTATATAAGTTCAAAGTTTTCAGTTTTATACCTCTGTTAAATAGCAAACTAATTTGATAAACCAGCCATTCACAATAAAATAATAGACATAATTTTTGTTCAGGGAATGAAATTGTTGAAAATGATGTGATAAATACAAAAGATGATACATTTTAGAGCTGTGAATAAAAATAAGACATCTGTAAGATGTAATTTCTTTCACTAAAAATGTGCTTATAAGCATTAACTTAATATCCTAAATTATCATAACAGCTAGTAGTTGCATGAAAAAAAAATCTTTTGGGTTCATAATCATTTTACATTTTCATATGTTTGATAAATAAAAATTATTGCATTTATTTTTTCTAGGAATTTCGAAGAGACCAGTATGGATGGCATTATAAAAATGTACATTCTGAAATTCATGGTGGTTTAAATGGATGGCTGATTGAAAGGTGTCCCCTTGCTCAGTATGGTTGTATGTTTGCTAGAAAGAGGTTCAATTCTGCTCCACAAAATTCATATATTGTGTATAATGAAATTTTGGAAAGTTTTGGAGTAGCATGCACACCTCTTCAAAATAGCAAATCTGACTCAATCAAGTATGTACATTTTTAATAATTAATTTCATTTAATGGAAGGTTTACATTAGTCATAATTAATCAAGGAAAAATAAGATTGAAGTTCCTATAATGTTGCTGAGAATGAATGGTATTCAAATCAAGATAGCATTATAACATATTTCGAATTCCAATAAAAGAAATAAGGGAAATATGTATTTGGTTAGTTATTTAAAATTAGATAAAATTCAACCTAATATTAACATTGTTTTTCATGCCTAAAAATAATTACGTTTCAAAGCATTTTGATAGGAATTCATTAAAATTCCGTTTAACTAAAACCAGCATGAATGAGAGATAGGCTGATCATATCTTTATGAGTCAGAAATAGGACAGTGATAGAGCAGAGATGAGACAGAGATTAATTGTGGTAAAGATGACAGAAACTGTTTTGACACAACTATTTTGAGTTTACTTTTTTTTTTTTTTTTTTTTTTTTTTTTGCCCAGTTATAGAAACCATCCAGGAAATTTACATAAACTTAGTAAGGGTGAAACATATTTTGTCACTGTTATACTGTGGTTATTTCTTTAATGAAGTTATCATACATAGCATTATGGTCTTTCTACACATTGTCATAAAATTTGATACATTCTATAATACAGTTTTGTGTCACAATGTAGCACAGTTTTAACTGTCTTATTGATTAATTTCAATTTCTTTTGCCATGCACAGTTGAAAATAAAATATTCTTTAACTATTTCAAATCTGTACATTTATATATTTCCTAAAAATTCTGTTTCTGTTAGATACAGGAATGCATTCAACTGCCTGTGCTGCAGATATCGATACTAATTGAACAGTCTCACTCTTATAATTTATCTTGGCATTCATATTGTTGATATATGTTTACAGGTTATGAGCAGTAATTTATGATTGCCTTGTAAAAAAAGCATTAATAGCATTAATACTGAAAATAGAACAAAATTATCATTTTAAAGAAAATGACGGAATGGCCGGGAAATGTTATAAAAACAGTATACCCTTTTTAAAATGGTACATATGGTCAGCTTAATATAAGGTTGAAACTTGTTTGGTTTTGAAATTTGAAAAAGCCATGCTTTTATTCCATCATGACAATAGCTTTAACTTTTCTTTCACAGACTATCCTCTCTACTTACTGTTGAAGAAAACTTTCTTTGTGCACTCTATCAATATGAGGCTGAAAATTAACTATTTATCTTAAGTCCTTTGTTTTCACTTTTTAAAGATTAAAAAAGTACAATTTATACATCTTATTTCGAATTTCCCTTGCTACTACTAAACTCTGAGTAAGTGTTCTTAAATTTCTTTGGCATCATTTTCAAGCCTTATCTGTCATTATCAATCTTGTATTCCTTTTCTGTATTTCAGTTGCACATAATACCATCTGTTCTTTTTCATTATTGTCTGCCTGTAATTTTCTTGTACATTTTACTACAATTATTACAAGCTTTTTACTTGTATTGAACCTAGCATTGCTATGCATTTATTTAATGTATGTTATGCAAGTGTGCTTTTTATTTTTACTTTTCTCTTATTATTTGTTATTCAGAAACTAAGAATTTATTACTATTGTTATTAAGAATACTTTTTTTTTTTTTTTTTAATCATACTTTCCCCATATGAAATTTCAGTAAGAATTGTCTCGAACCATATAGCAGTGTAGAGATTTTGAGATCTGTCATTGTAAATTAATGCATCACATAAAAAGAAAGTCTGTTCATGTTTGATGTATCTTACCTACTGTGATTATCTCATATATATGACTATTACTTGAAATAAAGTCTAGATGTTTTTATTAGTTTGCATATTCCATATCTTTCTGTGATGTACAATAACACATTACATTTATTTCAAATGTATAGCTATAATTGATATTCTGTTTATCAACTAATAATCTTTGATTGACCTAAGCATAAGATAAAATTTCTCTTAAAAAGTAAGTGCTCAATCATATAAGTGAACCATTTTAAAATTACATTAAAATATTTTTTATCTTTACTTGTATGGTCAAAAGAAACTTTTTTCATTAGTTTTTGGTTCAAAGTATTTAAACCATATAATTACTTTTGTTCTAAAACTCTTTCATTGTATCAAAATTCATCTGTGTGAGATGGTAAAATACTTTTAAAATGCTGAGTCATTTAAAAGGCAGTATGATATATACAGTACAAAAACTGAGATCTGGACTCTTTGAGATTTCAGTGATTTCAGATTAGGGATTTTTCTGGATGTTAGGTCATCGTTTTAAATTTAGTAAGATGACATGTAGAAATTTTAAAATTAAAAATATGAAACATTTCTTAAAGAAATCAAACTTAAAAAAAAAAAAAAAAAAAAAAAAAAAAAAAACTCAGAATTAATTTATTTGCTGTATTAAACATTTATTTTGATGTAAGTTTTTTAAGTTGCCCCCCCTTTTTTTTTATAATATTTTCTCTTTAAAGTTCATTGCTCAAATCCTGTAATTGCTGTGTCAAGAATTCATACTGAATTATCAGTTAAAAGTTTTTCATTCACAACAACCTTTCTGTCAATTTCTTCACTAAAGGTAGTAGTATTTTCTGGATACTACAGACTTTATTATCCTTTTTGAGTTGATTAATGATTTGGGCATTGTCACTGGAATGAGAAACTTCTGTAACATAGTCCTCAGTTATTACCACTTCTCTGCATTTCTTCACAAATTCCATTAGTTGGAAAATTTTGCTTTCAGTGTGGCATATCTCAGGCCTTTTTAATTAATGGCTATCATCATAAAGGTTAACTAGTGTTTGCTATACATTACTGACAGTATATTATGAAGTTGGCAACTAAACACACTGTTCTTCTAAATTATGTCTTCTTCTGTTGCGTAGTGTTGAAGTTAAGCCATATTTATATTAGTTCAGTTATTTACTTCACCTATTTTCTACACATGCTTAAGGCCTTATCTGAGGCAAGAATGAATAAATTGCCACATACGTTTTAAGGCTTACCCTGGGCCGTCACTAGACATTTTGCAGCCCAGAGCAGTCTATGTGTGTTTTAAATTCTGTTGCCAAACACCTCCTAAATTCTAAAAACTTTGCATTCTAGTACTTTTGTAAAATTCTAAAGATTTGATTTTTAGTTTTGACACTCTGTACTTCTCTAAATTCTAAAAATGTTGCTTTCCCTAAATTCTGACTCTCAGTTCAAACAGAACAAAATGTAAGTATAACTTACAAAATCTAATTTTTTACACATGGAAAGATGTTTCTGTTGAAATTGTTCATCAACACTTCACAATGCAGTTAGCTGACATCTATAATAATTGCTAAGTGTAATGTAAATATAAAAGGTTACTATACTACGTAGGGAAGTCAACTGAAAACCATAAAAGTAGAAATAAAAATCCGCATATGGCGCCAGTGAGCTGAAGTTGGCATGCCTGTTTGTAATAGTATGCTGGATGTCTCCCAGGTGGCAGCAGCCGGCAGATGCACAAACACAGGTGCAACAACAGTTCCAAAATGGCAGCCCCACTAGCCACATGCACCAGCGAGGAGCAGAGTTCTGTGATTCGGTTTTTGCGAAGTGAAGGTGTGAAACCGATTGACATTTTTAGGCGAATGAAGGTTCAGTATGGAGATGCGTGTTTGTCACGGATCTATGAATGTGGCCGGAAATTTGCAAATGGTGTTATGTCCGTGGCCGATGCTTCACGCCCCAGCCAGGCTCGGTGTAGTGTCTCCAGAGACCATTTCAACCGTTGAAGCCATCGTTTTGGAAAACCGCCGTGTGACAATAGAAGAAATTGCAACATGTGTACACATGAGTCATGGATCAGCACATCATATTGTGCATGATGTTCTCCAGTTTCATAAGGTGTCTGCAAGATGGGTGCCCCGACAACTGACGCCTGAACTGAAACAGCGACATGTTGATGCGTGCGAAGACCTTTTGTGGCGTGCTGAACGTGCTGGTAATGGCCTTCTTGTCACGAATCGTCACTGGTGACGAAACATGGGTGCATTACCATCAGCCTGAAACAAAGCGAGCGAGCAAGGAGTGGCGCCACTCCTCATCACCGAAACCCAAAAATTTTCGGACACAGCCGTCTGCAGGGAAGGTTATGCTGACCCTCTTTTGGGACGAAAAGGGCATCATCTTGGAACACTACACGCCATGAGGAACCTCTGTGACGAGTGCTACGTACTCGGACCTCCTAAAAAATCATCTCTGGCCTGCCATCAAAACGAAATGACCTGGATTGCTGTCAGCCGGTGTGCTGCTGCAACACGACAATGCACGGCCCCATACGGCGCGTGCAACGGTTGCGACTATCATAGACCTGAAATTTGAATGCCTCCCACATCCCCCTTACTCGCCAGACCTCACACCGAGCGATTTCCATCTGTTTGGTCCGTTCAAAGAAGCAATGGGCGGCAGGAAGTTCCACTCCGATGAAGAGGTACGCAACGCGAGTGAGTGGATGAAGAGTGGTTGCGCCGTCGCCCAAAAGACTTTTTTTCTGCAGGTATTCAGGCTCTTCCGAAGCGCTGGCGGACTTGCATTGAACGAGGAGGGGACTATGTTGAAAAGTGATTTACTTCTGTACCCGTGTGACCAATAAATAATATTTAAAAAAGTAATTATGGTTTTCATTTGACTCCCCCTCGTATTTGGTATTTAGTGACTGATACATGTAAATATGTATACTCTGCTGGCCATTAAAATTGCAACGCCAGAAAGGGATTATCTGACGAATGTCAAAATGACATGAAAGGAAGAAGAGGTTGGGATATGCAAATGATTAATATTTGACCGCATTTAGATAATGCAGGAGGAAAAAATTACATCTGAAACACTGCATAAAAGAAAAGCTGTGTAGTGAATTTCTCATTCGGGAAGCGCTTTGTAAGGCGAGAGTTTGCTCAGAATATCATGTCATCTCTTGAATCTAAAGATAAAATGCATACCAGTAAGTGTCAGAATTCAATAGAGGCAGGATCATTGTCTATCAAGAGTGTGGATTATCATTCTGTGATATCGCTCGGCACACTGGTTGACATTCAAACACAGTCATGTGAATATGGAATAGGTGGGTTGTTGAGGGTCATACTTAGCGGCATAAGGATCTTAACACCCTCCCATGACTAATGCCCGAGAAAACAGACATATTGCGAGGTCAGCCCTGCAAAACCATGTAACCATATCATAGAATATTAGTCATGAAATGAGCATGTTTCTCAGCACACCCAGTATCTGCTCATACAGAGTGTCGACTATTGCAGCAGAATAGACTATCAGCATGGCGACCATTACTTTGACTTCCCTTGACAATGCAGCACAGAGGGAGATGGCGACTCTGTCAGATGATAAAGCTGGATACAGGAGTGGCACAATGCCATCTTTTCAGATGAATCTCGTTACTGTGTGCAGTATTCTGATGACCATATACGTGTCTGGAGACTCCAAGGAGACTTCACATCACCTGCTTGCATTCAATGTCGGCGAAGGGCCTTTCACCTGGTGTGAGGTTTTGACAGCCGTTGGATACACGGCACGCACACCCCCTAGCTCAGATTGTCAGTAATTTGAACACAGATCGGTACATTTCTGTCATCTTATGTCCAGTGGTTGTGGCTATCTTCGAAGCCTGCCAAACGCCATCTTCCAACAAGATAATGTGAGACCACATGTTGCAAGTCGTGTTCTGACCTTCCTCGATACACAGGGTATTAGATTGCTTCCCTGCCCTGCAGGGTCTCCAGATCTGTCACATGTTGAAAACATCTGGTCATGGGTTGCTGAGAGACTAGCTCGTCACCCATCTCCAGCTAATATGGTTGATGAAGTGGGGCATAGACTTGAAGCAGCATGGAATGAATTGTCTCCCTTTCTGTCATCCAAGCCCAGTTTTACTCCGGCAGTTGTTTCTACTAATTTTGCACCCCTGTAAACCCACAAACTGCTTACAAATGAAATCATTTTGTCTTCTTGCCATACTGTTTATGTACAATAAATATCTTTTTTGTATTTGGTTTCGTTCATGGTGTTGCAAATGGCTAGCAGTGTATTTTTTAATTTTTTAGATATTACTGATGAATTACTTCTCAAGCTGGAATACAGGTTGGTGTCATGCCATGATTAAAGCAATAAATAAATAATTATTCACCAGGTTTCATGTCGGGGATATAAATTATTCAGTGCATGTAATAATAAATGATTGTTTCTTCTGTATGGAGATATTTTATTTAGTGCTGAATGGAAATTAAGAGTGAGACTCTATAGGTATATTTTATGAAAAAATATCAAATATGCTTGCATAAAGCATACTTTAAAAAAAAAAAAAAAAAAAAAAAAAAAAACATTTTTTCAAAAATAAGTGTTGTTTGTGGTCTGGAGGTTTGGATTTTCGATCATTCCAGATATTGGACATCCTGATTCTGTACTTTACTGTATATTACTTGTAAAATAATCACTATGCATAATGGAAATTTAAAACAAAATTTATGAATTTATGAAGTTTTTTTTCTTTAGTTTTGATGACATAATATGAATTTATATGCCAATTTTTACTTTATTGGTATCTATTTATTCTTCCAGCTCATGCTCACCTAGAAATCAATCTGGACAATATGCTCTTAAACTAACTGATTTACCATTTGATGTGAGTTCATTTTAAGTATCTTTTGCATTGCTTGTAAAACATACATTTCCAAATGAAGTAATGAACTGTTTTTCTTGTAGGTTTTACAGCATATAGTTCAGTTTTTGGATAGCTTCAGTTTGGCAAATTTATCTTTAGTATCTACTCTATTACGAGATGTATGTTCAACTGTGTTGAAAGAACATGGTTTAGTTCGTTTAAAGTGGGAGCGTCATAAGAAAGATGATAAATATACATGGCAATTATCAAAGTCAAAAGTAAGTTTTTTGACGTATAGGAAATGATTGTAATTAATATGAAATTATTATTATCTTTCATATTCTTCACATCACATTTAACTGGAACATAATGAGTTTGTGCTAAGCTTTAATGAGGAAATGAAATTATTATATGAAGAAGATGCAACAAAAATTCACTGGTTGATTAAATTGTACATATGCTGGCACCACCCTGATCCTTATAATGGTTAGTGCTTCTAACTGCTGTAACATTAGCTTCAGGTTTGAATCCTAAAAAAGGCATAAACATTTATAAGTGTATAGTGTCTGTGTGCATGGAGGCACTCAAAATACACAGCAAACTAAATGTCCTTTTGAGCAGTTTGGTGAAAAAGAAAGAGGATTGGAAAACCCTTTAATTCATCCATTGGGGATTCTCCCTCAAAATTGAGATATACAGTATATGTCATGGGAAATTTCCTGCAGTTCCTTTTGAAACTTTGTGGCATTTCACAGCATATTGTGAGTAGTATAACTCTGTAGCATTGAAAACAAACATATAAAACATGACAGCATAATGCATAACAAATATGCCATATTAAATGCTAAATACCATTGGACCTTGCATCTTTGCAGCTAGTAGATGAATCTTGCATTTCAAGGAGTAAGAGCATCTGGTTTAATTTATGGAAACTTTCTGTAATATCATACATATTCAGGAATATTTTGACATGCAAAATTCGAAATTCTCTGGCTATTATTACTGGGCTATAGTGTCCAGTAGATCGTTTTTATTACCACAATCATAATTACTACTTTATTAAAAGATTATCCACCAATTTTGGAATCAAAGTTCATGGTAGTTGTTTCCTATACTGGTGCTTATCATCGGAGTGGTGGGTCAGTGATCATAACTTATCATTATCTCAAATTTTCAGATTAATTCATGATCAATAATAATAATATTTAATTGATAATCATCATATCACAATCTAATGATCTCACATATCTCTCTGCTGTTGAATCTCATATCAGTCTTTGCAAACACACACAATAGTGCCTTCTCATGTAAGGGTCAAGGGTTTACCATTCTCCCCACTGAAACTTCCACAGAGTTTACATTTCAACTTCCAAATATTCAGATAATAAATTTAAATTCATTAAAATTATACTAAATACTGAATCATTAAAATTATGAAAATATATAAAATAAAATAAGTTATTCAAGTTCATATTAGTCACAATCTGCGAATGGCAATGGAACAACTTTGTCTTGCTGAAGAACGCCTGTAGATATCTTAACTGCTACAACTTTGACCAGTCTGTTATGATCAGGAAACACTTCTTGGATGTGATTTCAGCAGCCAGTTCAAGGAACTGTGGTTGGAGTCCTTCAACAGTACCAGCTTTTAAATTTAGCTGACCAACCTTTAAATTTGGTTGTGAAATGTTCCATTTAGCACATGTGTGGAGTTGATTCAAATATTCTGAATGCCATCAGTTCCAAAATTTTGCTTGGAATCTCTGAATCAGTTCCCACATGGAATGAAAGAAAAGAAAATTAGAAGCAGTAAATGGTTAAGGAAAGGATAACATAGCATTTCCTATCTAAAAATGTTCTGGAGTTAAAGGTTATAAGTTATTCGAATCAGAAGAGAGTAGTGATAATGGGCAGGAATTCAAAATGGTTTCTATTTGAGTAACTCAAGTAGTTAACTTTTCAAAATTGATGATAACTGATCTTGTGTCCTTTAACCAAATATACTATGGTTTTATGTTTGCTTCCGAAAATCCACCAAAATGTGGAGAAGCCAGTTATGTTGGATGCCTTCTGCACTAAATCCTTGAATTGAGTTATATATACAAATTTCATTCCATGCATTGAGAATGTTTCTTGCATCTTTGAAATTTGTGCTGTTGTTGCTCCAGGATCATGTTGGAATAAATTGTCATAAACATGCTAGAAAAGCTTCTGTTGTTAAATCTGAAATTACTTTTGAGTGCTTGACCTTCATGCAAAAACAGATAAATATGCTGCCTTCCAAAGTTAAGAAACAGCATGTTTTTCAAAGCTCATCATTACAAAACGTCAGCAACATTTAAATTCACAGTTCATATGCATGCTAGTAATGAAGTTTAAGAAAATATATGCAAATCTAGCTACCACTTTTTATTATATAGAAATGAATACTTATATAAGAGTTATAGAAAAAATGCAAAAATTGTCATTTTTGTTCATGAGTGTTATCTTCAGTTGTTATTACAGTTTCGTCGACAATATCCAGGTGAGTCTATCAATGTCCAGAAGTTGTTTGCCCAATTTGTTGAGGTGGCAGGCAATCGGATGGATGGAAATGGGATTGTCATAAACTGATGCTGCTAGATGTCTCAATGTCCCTTGTAGTGGGGTCTATCGACTATGGAATCAGTTTGAATCCGGGGATTCTATGTCTAGAAGACATATTCCAGACAGACCTAGAGTTTTTAACACCTGCGGGAGACCATTATTTAGCCCGTTCGGCCTAAGGGAGGAGTAATATTACTGTGCCCCTGCTCATGGCAGTTCATTTAGGACAAGAACAAGAATCTCAGCTATTACAGTATGCAGATGCCTGCACAATACAAGTCTGTATGCAAGACGATCAGTTGTTTGTGTCCTCTTGACCCAAGAACATAGAGGTGTTCATTTATGTTGGGCAAGAGAACACGTCTCCTGGACCAGTCAACAATGCAAATCTATTCTCTCCACAGACGAGTACAGGTTCATGTTGGAGAGGGATTCAGGTCATCAGCTTATCTGAACAGAACAACGCACCAGATACAACCAATTCCACATTGTGGAAAGACACAGTTACAGAGGTGGTGGAATAATGGTTTGGGCTGATATCTCTGCCGGTGGTTACACTGATCTGCATGTGTTCCATGGAGGAACTTTGACTTGTACGAGATATTGAGACAAGATCATTGATCAATATGTCTGCCCACATGCCACTGCTATTGGTCCTGAATTTCTTCCGATGGATGACAATGAGCAACCGCCGAGCTAGGGTCCTCCTCCAAAGTCATTTGATGAGTTTGAACAAGGATTACTCTGTGTCTGGTTGTTGCTTCCCATTTCACTGACCAACAACTTAATTGACAGCAAGGAACATTGCTGCCGCCAATGTATTGCAGCTAGGGGTGGACACATTACTTTTTAGAACCCATTTTTATAATGTTACCACCCCATTTTCCCTCAAAAAATTGTGATATACTGTTTCTCCAAGACTTTTTCTCTGCCAAGAGTGAAATTTTTTGTTGTAATTCATGTTTGTGTTGAACTTTAGAAATATTCCAATCAAATAAGAAATCAGGACATTCTACAGTGCATTCATTAAATAACTTCAGTGAACATGTTCTGTAAATTTCTTGTTTCTATGCATCATTCTCAAATTAGACACAAAAAACATGCTGTTCCTTAACTTTTGGAGGCAGGTGTGGGATCAGAATCAGAGTTAGGCAGATTTTGGAGTAAAAGGAGTTGGAGCGGGAGTCGCTAAAAAACACGTCGACACTGAATCGAGTTTTTGTAGGATATTTTGAATTTGAAATGAAATTAAGTGGCTTGAAAGAAAAATTGCTGATTAACTGAATTATTATTTTTGTTTATGGACTATATGCATTAATAAATATTTAGTTATTTCCTATTTTATTGATGTATTAATATAAATATAAGGGAGGAAGATAGATGATGTTTAGATGTTGCTGAAGAGGCATCAAAAACTCTGCCAAATCAAGCAAATGCATTAGGGAGTCCACACCTTGCAGTTTGCTGTTAGAGATGGTTGAAGGAACCTCATGGTACAAATCTCATTGGTGAAATTAGGCAAGCAGCAATGGCAGCAAGAACTCAAAAAAATTGTGCCATTCTTAGGAAGTGAGCAGAAAAAGGAGCAATTAAGTAATGCAATGGGGAAGTACACATGTGATGATAAAGAGGTTGTTAGAATTAAGAACTTTTTTACACTGTATATAGTCACAAAAAAGCTGCGATCTGAAGAATTAACAGGAGGCATGTTTCTGTGAGAATGGAAGAATGTGATGTAATGGGAGATCTTATTGCAGAAGGAATCATTTACTAGTTTGTTAGACAATGAGATCTTGCTGGGTACAGCATATGTAGATTCAAAACACTGAATTTTGTTGGATGATGAACAAATTAAAAAGGCAAAGAAAGCCATCTATGAACTTTCACTTAAAATGAAATTATTCTCAGATCAGTTGGAGAAATTCGTATCAGGACAGTCATACTGCAGACATTGCAACAACTGCATCTCTATCATTCTTTTCCAATGATTAATTAGCTTTTGAGAAATATTTGCACAATATTGGAAAGACTAAGGCAAAGTGAATGAAAATAAAGAGCCTTTAGATATAAAAATGAAAAAATACAAACAAGATTTCTACACAGCCCTTAAAGAGATACAGAAATGTAATCATCGCTGTTGTAAGTCACTTCTTTTAGAACTTATACAAATCTATCCTGAAAAATTAAAAGAAGTAGCCCTAACAGAAACAGCTCTTCCTCCTACTCAAGTTAGTATGGAAAAACTATTCTCAGCTCTGAAGTTTATCAAATCAGATCTATGGTCCTCTATCGAAGAAAATCTTGGCAAAGCTATACTCTTTCTTAGAAATAAGTGATGACAGTTTTTTCCATTTCATGCTAATTAAATAATCTGCTACACCATCAATTTTTTTGGTAGCATCTATTACTTATTTTATATTAAAAAAAATCTGATGTACCACGTGACTTCCTGTACACCACATGACTATATTGCATGCAAATTAACTAAAGGCATAAAAATCTTAACCGGAAGATAAGAACAACACAATTCAATCATTTTTAAAGCAAAAAATGCACATCTTACCAACATATAAGATTAAAAAAAAAAACTGAGTTCACTGAACCAAGTAACAGATTGTGTGTGTGTGTGTATATATATATATATATATGTAAGATAAAAAGTCTGTGAATCAAAGTTATAATTTAAAGTAAC